CTTCTGTTCAGAGCTCACATCAGTCTGAATGAACCAACGAACCGACGGACCAGTTTCATTGGTCTTCTTTTTCACTTGAACCACCCAGTCATCCAGTCAACCACCCAGTCAAACCCCCCCGGTCACTCTGTCGAAACAGCAACTGACTGAGCCGGCGTGGCCCGAAGCATCTCGAGCTCTGAACACAAGTTCTCGGCCTCAATCGAAACAGCACCTGAGAGAGTCTCCAAGTCGCGGAGACACAGCGACTGACAAGTGGCTGAGGGGTCAAAACCTGGGGTCAAAACCTGGAACCTAAACCTTGGGTTGACCATGTCTCGTAGTCCGTTTCTGTTGGATTTTCTGTGGTGCCCGCGGTTTTGACCCACAGCTAAGTCACTCTCAAGTCTCGTTTCATCAGTTCCACCTGCAGTACGTGCCGCTTCGCCGAAGGCCTTCCAGAAGTAAAGAAAATGCACCTGGCACGCTCTCTCGCCCCATCTTCCTTCCCACCACAGCCACCCGGCTCGAGCCCCAAAACCTCAACACGGACGTCGTCTTCCCATCACAGACGCTTCCTCCGTCGCTTCCGCCATCGTTCCGCTCCGGTGTTCGCTGTCACAGGACACGGAGCCTGGTCTTCATGCGGCCGGAGCATCTGCAGAAAGATGGCCATCTCCCCTGGGCCACAGCTGCCCGTCATCGGTTTAACGGGGAATTCCTGTCAGCTCCAACCATGTGTGCCCAAGGACACGTCTTGGCCCAGCCGTTGCGGCCATTTATTTAGGTCTACGAAAGATCGGAGAGTTCCGTTCGCCTCAAATGAAGAAGTCCCAAGCTTGGTGGGACAAAAAGTTTTGCCTAGGACTTGAGGTGCCAAAACCAAGGTTTGGGAAAACGGGAGGCGCCCGGATTCGGGTTCCACAACGAGTTCCACAACACAGTTTGTCCAGCGTCAGAACCCCAAAAAACCAGTGAAAAGACACACAAACGAGTCGATAGCATTGAAGAAGTGCTGCATGTTGCCTGCATGTCGTCCTGCATCATTGGAAGCTATTGGGGCCCTCCAAGCATGCAGTTTAGGCGCAGAAACGCCGCTTGGATGTGTGCGCAACCGTTGCAAATGCTGGAGAATTGTTGAGTTTGGAGGAACCCCCCGCATAGGACTGACCAAACCCAGCTGGTACCGTTGAACGACCATCCTCTCAAAATTCCAAGGCTTCGTCAGGCTACTTGAAAGCAACAGCTGGTTGCTGCACAGCTTTGGCAGTTGACCCACGTTCCCGTTCACACAGACGGGGTGGTCACAGTCACAGAACACTGCAGGCTTGACGGGGGAAACGGGTTTCCCGTAGCGGGTCCTTGCGGCTCTGCAAAGAGGCGGCCCAGATCAGTAGCACACTGCGGCCTCTTCACTGCGGTCGTGTGGAGTGATCCGGGTCGGTTTGGAGAACTCTTCCAGCAAGCATTCAAGAGAGGAGAAAGAATGTGTTACTCATGGAGAAAGAATCGTTTGGAGACCCATGGCTTGAGGTTCTTCTCCCTTTTTGATACCCAAAGGACCGACTGCCGACTTGTGATTGTGAGACCTAAGCATAAACACAGTGTCCTAGTCTGAGACAGAATCAAGATCAGACCTGTGCGCATCGAGCTTTCACCCACAAGGCTCAACAGATGAGCTTGTCCATCACCCACATTTGTTCCATGGTGCACAAAAACAGGCTGGCTACCATCTAAAGCACATCGAGCTCCATCCAAAACGTTGGCCACAACAAGGAAAAAAACCATCTGGTTACTTTCCGTCCGTCTCTTTGCGTTCAGAACTGACGCATTGGCCCCCTTCCGCCCGCCATGTGACGCACCGCGGCCTACAAGGGATCTTGGCAACCACCTTTTGAAGCGAGATGCTCCCAGCGGCCAGAACCTCAAAACAAACCAGCTTGCTGCTAGGACTTAATTCAATTGCAGCCCCTTGGGCCTAACTGCAGAACTGGATGACATCAAAGACTGCAAACGGCAATTCTCAGTTCCTCACGTAGCCGCCGTGGCCTTCGGCACAGTCCTGCCATGCCTCGAGGGCCTCAGTTCTGCCAGGTTCCCTCATGCTGCTTGTCATTACTTGGGAGCCCTGGCCGGGCCGAACAACGCATCGGATCTTGCTTCAGCTAATGACACGCAAATATTCCATATCATCAAAACATATTGAAATACTGTATATGCTCATACATTTAGTAAAGTATGATTTGATTGCTTTAATACAATCTTTCTTCTTGAAGCAGCAAAACTATGCCTGTTTCACTATTTTTGAACATACTATCACCAAAACATTGAATTGATTCAAATAATTTACACCACCGTAGACCCCAAACAGGTGAGACAACAACGAAGCATTCCCAAGTCCACTTTTTGAGACATCAACAAGAAGGGAGACAAGAAGGGAGACAAAAGGAAACAGAAGGGAGACAAGACGGAAGAAGGGAGACAAGACCGCAGACAAAGAAGGACAGAAGGGAGACAAGGCGGCCACAATGACCAACAAGAACGGGGGGACAAGAAGGGCGACAAAAAAGACAGAACAAAATGGCCAACAAGAAGGGAAACAAGAAGAGATACAAAAGGAAACAGAAGGGAGACAAAGCGGACACAGTGACCAACAAGAAGGGAGACAAGAACGAAAACAAGAAGGGAGACAAAAGGAAACAGAAGGGAGACAAGGCCGACACAGTGACCCACAAGAAAGGACACAAAGGGAAACAGAAGGAACGAGGCGGACACAATGACACACAAGAAGGGAGACAAGAAGGAGACAAGACGGACACAGTGACAAAAAAGAATGGAGACAAGACCGGAGACAAAGTGAGACAAGAAGACAGACAAGGCGGAGACCATGACCAACAAGAAGGGAGACAAGAAGGAAGACAAGGCGGACACAGTGACAAACAAGACTGACACAATGACCAACAAGAAGGGAAACGAGAAGGGCAACAAAAGGAAACAGAAGGGAGACAAGGCGGACACAGCGGACACCAGCAGTGACAGATCTGGGAGACAAATGAATAGAAATGTTCATCGCCAGCAGAAAAGGGCGGACACCAGCAGTGACAGACCTGGGAGACAAATGAATA